TTGATGTTGGTGAGGGTGATTTAGGGTTAGCATTAACCTTATACAAATCAGCAACACCTGAATTTAGTAGGTCTAAAGGTTGGAAACATAGTAAAGGGGCATCGTCTTGTAGTAGAATGCTTAAATTGGATTGGGAAGGTGCTGAAAAAACAATGGCAAGTGGTGAAGTTGATAAGGGTAAGGGTGTAGAAGGATTTGTAGATGAATTTGTTGTAGTTGATGCAGAAAAAGAGTTAAACAAAGAGATTGATGTGAATGAAGAACTTGATGTGAACAAATCCAATGGTGAGGGTGTAGAAGGATTTGCAGATGAGGGGTATAGAGTTGTCATGGATAATGATCCTCAAGGAGTCAATGAATTTTCAACTAACATCAACATAGATGATGAGTTAATGACAAACTTTCAACCTTTTGAAGGGTTTGAAGACGAAGATAGCATCCCATTTAATGGGTTTGAAGGCCAAGATAATATTCCTTTCAATGATGAGTGCAGACAAGAGGAGCCTGATGACATTGAGTTTGAGAATCAAAACAGTGAAGATGAAGATAGTGACTTTATGATTGATGAGGACAACATAATTGAAGATGTTGACGTTGACATGGAGGATTTCAATCTAAATATTGATATAGAAGCAGAGTTCAATGGATGTCAAAGAATGGGTGGTCAAAGAAATGAAGATAGTGTTGAAGAAGATGATTTGGAGGTAATTGACAATGACGAGTGGGATTCACTAAGTGATGACTCAGGGGACAACAGGAAAAGAAGAGAAATGATCAAAGAGCTGGGGAAACAAACCTTATGTTCTGCTGGTGAGGTGCACAAGGTAGCTTTTCATATTGGGCAGAAATATAAAGCCAAGAAAGAATTGAAAGATAAAATTGACCTGCATGCTTTAGAGACAAGGAGGAATATCTCATTCACAAAAAACGACAAGAGTAGATTAACAGCTGTTTGTGATGGAACTGTAGTTTTAAATGCAAGTGGGGTAGGTGGACCTACCTCTGGGAAAAAGGTAAAGGGTAAAGATGTAAACTCAGATAAAGTTAAATGCACATGGAAACTTCATGCATCTAGGTCAAGTGAACAGGACTATTGGTTTATTAAGACGTATAATCAGAAACACATCTGCCTCCAAACACGAAAAATCAGATCTTGCACAGCAACATTTCTTTCCAAACGTATTATGGATCAGATTGAAGCTAATCCTGGACTGCCTGTTCGTGCCCTACAAGAGCAACTCCAATCAACTTATGGAGTTAGTATTTCAGAAGAGAAAGCATTTAGGGCAAAAGCATTAGCCACCAAAAATGTTGCAGGGGATTACGTAAAGCAATATGCAGCTTTGAGAGACTATGTACTAGAGCTACAAAAGACAAATGAAGGTACAACTGTAAAGATTGATGTGGTTTCAGAACCTGTGGTTTCATCCCCAACCAGGCAATTCAGAAGGATATACGTGTGTTTAGGTCCTTTGAAGAAAGGTTTTAAGGCAGGTTTGAGAGAATTTTTAGGTTAGATGGAGCCTTCATGAAGGGACCTTTCCCAGGTCAAATACTAAGTGCAGTTGGTGTTGATTCCAACAATGGAACCTACCCATTGGCATATGCTGTTGCTGAAAGTGAAAACACTTCAAGTTGGAAATGGTTTCTTCAGTGTCTTGCAGAAGATCTTGACTTGTATTCAAATTCCAACTTCACCTTTATCAGTGATAGACAGAAGGTACTATAGTTACATTTAATATTGCATACTAGTTTCATTACAAACTAATGATAATTTCTTATTTTGTTTTGGTGACAACAGGGTCTTCTACCAGCCATAGAACAATTGTTCCCTAATGCAGAACACAGGTTCTGTATTAGACACATATACCAGAACATGAGGATGTTATTTAAGACTACAGAGTACAAGGAGTATTTTTGGAGGTGTGCTACAGCCACCACCATACCAGAGTTTGAAGCTGTAATGGTAGAGCTAAGGAATTATGACATAGAAGCATATCAATGGCTCTTGAAAATCCCTCCACATCATTGGGCTAGAAGTCATTTTTCTGGTATTTTCTCAATTTGTTGTCTTATTTTTTATTGTAGTATAGATATACACTAACTGTTGTTTTGTTAATGAACTATTAGGAAGGGCAATTTCAGACATGTTATTGAATAACCTTTGTGAAGTGTTCAATAGCAAACTTGTAAAAGGGAGAGACAAACCCATTATCAGTTGTTTGGAGTTCATCAGAGAGTACCTTATGAAGAGAGTATGCAATGTGATGAAGGTGTTAAACAAGTGTCAAGGTCCATTAACTCCAACTGGTACTAGGATTTTGGAAGCAAACACAACACTAGCTAGTAAGTATCATGCACGATGGAATGGGGGACAAAAGTATCAGGTTAAAGGTCCATGGAATGATCAACATGTGGTGGACATGGAGAAAAGGGAGTGTAGTTGTAGAAAGTGGGAGCTTACTGGAATTCCTTGCAAACATGCTATTGCAAGCCTAAATGAAATGGCAGACAACAATGAAAAGGTAGGAGAACTATACACCTATGTGCATAAGGTGTATTGGCTTGATACATGGAAAGAGATGTACTCCTTCAAGGTGGAGCCTATCAAAGGTAGAGCCATGTGGCCTAAGAGTGACTGCCCAACAACTCTTGTGCCTCCACCACACAACAAAGCTATAGGCAGGCCAAAAAAGAAAAGAAGGATTACAGCAGAGGAAAGGATTGAAATCCAGCAACGTAAGAGGCAAGCAAACAGTCAAAGTCAAAATGATAATGAAACTCAATCACTGAGCAGGAAGTTTTTGACTGTTACATGTAGTAAGTGTAAGCAAAAGGGTCACAATGCCAGGACCTGCAAGGCCAAAGATGGGAATTGATGTTTAAGTACTTTTTATGTTTGTCAAGACTTGTTAATGCACTTTAGTTGGTACTTTGTTGCCTTTTTTTTGTTCCATTTTGATAATGTACTTTGATGCCCTTTTGATAATGTACTTTAATGCCCTTTGTTGGTAATGATTGTGTTTTGGCATTTATCTGTTATGGTCCCCTTTTGGTAATGTTGTTTGTTATTTGTTTATGTTGTACTGTCAAAGCATGAAGATGTTATGGCAATGTACTTAATGTATGCATATAAAACCATTACAATTGCATATTCAAACGTAGAGAAAAACCATTACACTTGCATATCATGTCAAGATCAAACCTTTATAATTTCATATTCATAAAAGGATAAAACCATTACACTTCCCATTGTCATAAAAGCATTACATATACAATGATCCAAAAGATAACACTTTTAAGTGGTTACTACCAACAAAAACATATATAAACCACAATTAAACCTTCTAGCACCAAAAGACAACATTTTTAAGTGGTTACTACCAACAAAAAAGTCCTAACCTCTAATTCCTATTTCCAAAACAGCACAAACAACAGAAACAAAATCCACGAGACAAGCAAACACATCTTCAGCTGGCCCACTTCAACCTCATACCTATTCATTGTTCTCAACAGTCCTGGTATGATAACAGTTGATCTTTGACACATAGGGGGATCGAACCACCCCAAAAATGCACATCTGGATCCCTACAAGAATACATTAAAGTAGAAGAGTTATTGCTTAACTACCGACTTCTCTGTAACCTAATATCAGTTTGCTAACCATTTTAGGGCATGCATAGAAACGACGACCAGGGTTTCGTGAAGTCCATGAGGTTCACACAACAGCAACATTCCCACAGAAGTAGAGCACCATTTTTGAATCTCGTAGCAGTAGAAGTAGACGAGAGATGAAGAAGAAGAGACGAAGTAGAAGAGGAAGAGGATTCTTCTCTGTAAATAAAAATGAAGAGGAAGAGGATTGCGTATATGTATATAAGGGAGAAATATGATATTATTTAAAATAAGTACCTAAAATGACCAAAATGCCCTCACATGGAGGGCACGTGTAGGCACTAACGGCCCCAAACAAACGGTCAATGACGGAATGGACTAAAAACCCAAGAAAACCTTGATTTTGGACCTTTGGTGCAAGCTGGAAACTATTTGGACCCCATCCAAAGGTTTTGGCAAACCACAAGGACCAAATTCGCAGTTTTGTCTTTATAATATTCAAATTAGTATACAAAGAGAAAAAGCAAAACTATAAGAGTAAATTACACGAATGATCCTTATGGTTTGGGGTAATTTGCAAGCTTGGTTCATAATTTATTTTTTTAACTCGGAAGGTCCTTACTATTTGTTTTTGTTACACGCTTGGTCCCTACTGTTTGTTTTTGTTACGCGCTTGATCCCTGTCTTAACAAAAAAGACTATTATTTAAATAGGGAAAAATAGTGAGTTATGTAAAGTAAGGTGAGAGGGTGGGGTTGGAGGTGTGTTTATTTAAATAAATTAAAAAATCAATGGCAAAAATAATCTTTTTAAGTAAGACAGGAACCAAGCACGTAACAAAAGCAAACAGTAGAGACCTCTGAGTTAAAAAAATAAGTTAGGGACCAAACACACAAATTACCCTAAACCATAGGGACCATTCGTGTAATTTACTCAAACTATAAAGAGACCACTAGGACGTTAAGACTAAAAGCGCATTTACCAAGACGTTGGTTCACAACAACATGATCATTTGATAATAATAACTCAAAAGAAAACAACGAGAGCATGAACTATGAATCGAAAATAGTTATAGATATAGTACTGGGTTTGCTAGATGGTGTCCTAAGGTTGCCATAATATCTGGATAAAAGAGTATAAATCATGTTGGATCATAAATGCCTTGCGCATATCAAGTTCATCATTACAATATTCTGAATCTGTTGCGACTTTTCGTGATTTATTGGCATCATCTTTTCTTTCCCTAGGAACGAGTTCAGCTGCAAACGAACTCCAATCCATGTCCTCTATGGAAAATGAAATAATATTGTATGATGAATTTAACGATGTGGTCTGCCTCAAGGCACTAAAAGAAACATATCCCACATATGTCTTTACTTTTCCTTCTAAATATTCAGGCCCCGGTGCTTCATTAGAGTCCTGCCAAATCTCAAATCTCAAATCTTTTTCATATACCTCATGCGTGAATATTATATTAATATCCGGAAGTATATTGTTGGTAACAATGCGTATTAAGAACCCAGAAAAGTCACTGTACCAATCATCTGGAAGACGCAATGTAAATGTGTCCTCACTATCATTGGCATCATGTGGACGACGCCTTGTAAATGAGTACCCTGTAAAGAACCTACCCACAAACCCCTTTGGAATCTGACGTTCAAAAGCGACACTGATAAAGTGATCTTCAACAGCATTTCCCTGCTATAAAAAAATACATTCAACTATGAATGTATAGGTTTATACTTTATATCATAATGACTGGAATTGTAAAGGTATGTAGAACCAAACCTGGAGCATGGAGTTTAGTATTATGCCAGCTTCACCAAGTTTGCTCTCCCACCGATGTGAGAAGTTCCACAACCATTTACAGTTTGAAACATCTCCAAAGCTTCTAAGTGACCTGCAATGATCTGCCTTAACAATAGCGATACTTGATGGCAGTGCTGACAATTTTACAAGATTTCTGCACCATGACACATCGAGCCGTTTGAGCCGAGGAAGCTGCAGGCGAGTAAAACTTAATTGTGAAAACTTATTTCCTTCTAGATTGAGTTCTTGCAAGTTGGGTAACTCCCAAAGAGCATAGCTCATGTCATCATCTTCCAAACAACACCAGCTCAGATCCAACTTTCTTAAGACGAGTTCTTCTAAGTCGCAAAAAAGTTGTAACCCAAGTTTTGTGTCCCCACTATTATATAAATGAAGATTATCCATATTCTGTTGGATCTCAGAGAGCTTAAAAAGTTTGTAGCACCCTGAGAACGAAAGGGTCTTGAGTTTCTTTAGTTGGGTAATGGGTGGAAACATCTTAAGTCTCCTACAATCTTCTATAGATAAGAAGACAAGCCTTTCCAAACGTCCGATCGATGGATGAATCTCTTCTAATAGCCGACATCCAGTAAGCTTGAATCTTTCAAGATGTGGAAGCCCATTAAAATTTGGTGTTATCATTAGGAAAGACATATAGCAGAGTTCCATTATCTTCAAATTTGGCAGGATCTATTGTATACAAGTCAAAAATGTATCATGGTGAGTTCAAAGAATACATTTATATATATATATATATATATATATATATATATATATATATATATATATAGAGAGAGAGAGAGAGAGAGAGAGAGAGATATGTGTGTGTGTTAATCAGTTACTATTTCTATATGTCCATAATCAAAAATCATTTGAAGTACTAGATTGTTTAGTTAAATATTTAAAATCACTAAATAAAAACAAAATAATATATCTTTTAACCCAAATCAATTATATCAATCAAGGTTGTTAAGATTGAGATATTACATCATTTTACACTCTCTGCAAGATCAAGATCACAAGATCAGGACATGATCCTACTAAAAATGTAGTCTTTTTTTTGAATAATTTGTAATATATATCAAGATTAGTTATCCAACAAATTCAAAAAATATTTGAACTTTGAACTTAAATAATTCAAAAAATCTTAGGTCCAAATTTCAAGCATTAACGAATACAAACATGCAACACAAGAAAACTCCATTTGATCCTCTAAATTCATCTATTCATGACAAGTTATATAGTATAAATCTAACATGGTAAATATTATATAATTATTGTTTCCCTATTCTATGGTAAAACCAGCTTAGATGTTTTATTAAATTAGGAAAGAGAGTGAACAAAAAAGATAAAACTTAGATATAAATTATATTTTTTTATTGGTTTATATATAAATCAATCTAAAATGTTCCATTAGATTATAAAACCTCAATAAAAGGGATAAAGAAAATATCATTTTATAAATGTTTTTTTTTTAACTTTTTAATAGATAAATTATTAACGCTCTTATTCACTAATGATCATATACCGGTCTTACACCTAAACCGACCCTATCAAGATTGAGATCATATTTGTATTGTAAGAATGTAAGATCATAGGATCGAACGATCTTATTTAGGATCACAATTTTAACAATATTGATCTTAATGTTCTATAATGATTATCAACAAAGAATAGAGTTAGATTGAACTCTTACCTAAGTAATAATACAGCACTAGCTTTCAAGAAAACAAATGAAAATTATCTGTATTTATGATAAGACAAAAGAGTATTTATATGGACGAGCTTTACATAATGACATTATACGACTGATGACTCAATTTAAACAAGTATATTTTAAGAAGCCATCTGTTCTCAAGACAAAGGACATAAAAGATAGACAATAAGATTAAGAATTACCTTATAACCCTCCCAAAGTTGTGTACGAGAGCTGTTATGCAATATTAGACAACAAAGCTTCCTTTGTGGAAAGTTAGTAAGCAATGGACTTGCAAGATCACCTTGCCATTCAATCCACCTAAGGTTCTTCGTGTTTGCAACAAATGGATGAAGATGTTTATACCTTTGTATGTGATCAACACTATTGTGTTTAAATCTGATTGCTTCAATCATGTCAAGTTCCTGTGATAGAGGAACAAAATGGTGCCGGGGTTGAGTTAAAAGATCTTTCTTTCTTTATACTTACATATATATGATGAATAGCTATCTTAATCATTACCGTTGTTGCATCCATAGCACATATGTTTACAACATCTTCCTCCTTCCAAATCCTACTATGTTTTTCAGGATTGTCAGGGTGTTCTCCTCTAACAATGTGGTGTCCCATTTCTTGCACCAGATCATGCATATCAAACATTCCATTCGAAATATTTAGGAGAGCCTTTTGCATCAACACCTTTACTCCTATAACTGCATGAAAACCCCAAGCATCAAGCATCTCCATTGCCCTATCTTTCTTCTCCCACCTAAAAAAGCATGCAATATCTAGGAACAACTTTTGTTCAACCCTTGTAAGTCCATCATAGCTGATTTTTAGCTTTTCCATAATCTTATCATGTGGGATTTCTTTCAATCTAACCAAGGCACTCCTCCACTCATTCAAGTTTTTGTCACATAAAAAACGACCGATAACTATGAGTGCTAATGGGAGCCCATCAACATACCGGACCACCTCTTTTGAAAGCAGCCCATAATCTTCCATAGGTATCATATCCCGGGGTGCATGGATGCACAAGAGCTGAATAGCCTCATGATCGTTTAACAATCTAATCTTGTGTATAACATCTACTTTAAAAGCAGTTAATAAATGCTCATCTCTAGTTGTGATTACTATTAGACTTCCTTCACCGAACCAATAATGTGATCCAGCCAATGCTTCTAGTTGGTCAAGTTGATCGACATCATCAAGGACAATTAAAACCTTTCTATGGGATAACCTATCCTTTATCATCTGTGAACCTTCCTTAACCCCACCTAGCACTTCATTGTGTTTCAAAATACTTGAAAGTATTTCTTCTTGCAATTTTTTCAAACCATACTTGCTTGATTCCTCTCGAATATTTTCAACAAAACAGCAACCATTAAACTCCCTAGACATTTCATCATAAAAATAAGACGCAAGAGTAGTTTTGCCAGCACCCCCAACCCCCCATATTCCAATCTTGAGCACACCACTTGACCCAACTTTCAACCTTGATTTCAAATCTTGCACACGAGCCTCTATTCCAACCAGGTTGTCATTCACCCTTGAAGTTAGTGGATGCAACATCTTTGAGATTTTGCTGACAATTTCTTTGATGAACTCTGATTCATGCCTACACATTTGATATAGAAGGATGATTAAAACATACTCACAAAAGAGGTGATTTGTTTCAGGCTTTCATAAACTAGAAAAAAAAATATTAAAAAATAAAGTCTTAGTTACCCTTTATATTTCACATTCAAAATAGAAACTGTAAATTAACATCACAAGTTGTTGAAAAAAATTTCTTGGGCAATATCAATTAATTAGCGTCTAATAGCAAAAAGTAGAGCAAAATGGATTTGTCGCTTCTAATAACAAAAAGTAGAGCAAAATGGATTTGTCGTTCTAACTTGAAGTGAGACATTAAGAAAAAAATTAGAATTAGAACTCAATGGATTTGTCATTCTATCTAATTTTGAGCTTATCCATAATCCTAGATCACATGATGAACTTCACGTAATCCTACATAACCTGGTTGCCATCACATGCATCTATCTTTCAACTTACCAAAATGATCATGTGATCTAGTCAAAGCCTCTGTTTATCAACAGCATCATCAAGAATAATCAACATGTTTGAATAAAAAGCTTACAAGGTACAAGTATAAATGTCTTGAAGACCACAATTGTCTTTAGCATAAAAAATGCAAAAATATTGAAGAAAATTACCTGTTGGCAATGTCCCATCCAGAAAGGTTACTTGCATCCACAAGTGCTTTTCTCCAGGATTCAACCTTAGTCTTGTTCTCCAGCTCATGTTTGAGGAATGCTTCTCCATACTTCTGTTTTTGCTTTCTCAGTTCGGAGGGCTCCACATCATAAAATAAGGGAATAACGATTTGGCCTCTCGTTTCCCTGCAATTCATAATATAGGCAAGTTCTTCTAAGCACCACGAAGAATCTGCATAGTTTTCAGAGAATACGATGACAGCAATTTGGGATTCTCTAATAGCCTTCATAAGGGATGGACCAATCAACTCGCCCTGGGGAAGTTTTTTGTCGTCTTTATAAGTGTAAATTCCTTTTTGTTCAAGAGCTGAGTAGAGATAGCCCACAAAAGTATTGCGAGTATCTTCTCCTCTAAAACTAAGAAAAACATGGTACTTCCATGATTGAGAAGGATAGGCGGGTACAGAACCAGAAGATGAAGATGCCATGTATGTGTTAATTTGTTGAGATGTGGTTTGAGTACCTCAGTGAAATGAACTATATACAGAGAAAGAGTGATGTAAGTTTCCAAGAGATTTCTCATCACTTGATATTTTATACAATGTGAAGTGTTTACACATTGAAATAAAAAGATAGTGGGTACCTCCTTAACTATTAGGAGTTTCCAAGAAATTTCCAATCAACAAAAACTAAATAATATCTTATCACTACATATTTTCAATATAAAGGGAGTTGTTTTCACATCATGTCAGCATCATATTCAAGATAGAGATCATCAATGATGTGGCACGAGTTGGTAAGGTGATTATTATTATTATTATTATTATTATTATTATTATTATTATTGATACTTGACTATCCAATGAAGCCAAGAACTTCTTACCTTTTTTGACTATTCATGCAATAATGTTGTTTTTTATACAAAATATGTATCAGGTTAGGGCCAAAATCACGTGTTTCTGTGTGTGGGAGGAGAATCCAATAGACTTGTAAGTTGTACCTCATGCATTAGCAGCTTGTACCACTGCATTTCTTTGACTTGGTGGTAGTGGGGTTATCTTAATTCAACCCACCATTGTTGTTCAGATGGTTTTTTTGTATGTAAAACTACATTTCTTCTTCCAGACAACTTTGCTGCAGTCTGAACCCACCTTCCAAAACACTAATTTATTATTACTCATGATTTAAATATATGTGTTCATTATCACTCAAAATACCAATTGCAAAGATTTTGATTTGAGAAGATGTGATGATAGAGCCACGATGTAGAAACTTGGATTCGTGGGTGGAACCTATAGATATTGGAGAAGGGATTATGATGAAGCTACCAACAAAACGAGACAGTAACACAATATCCAAACAAAAAATTAAAAATGGAAACCCCACAGTCGTTCAACTCATCATCAGGATAAAATTCTCAACATACCGTAACTAAAGATGATATTTTCCCATAGCACTCTTCGATTTTCCCGGAGATGGAGTCGTTAACATCGATGGGGTTGAATGGAAGTTTCAGAGACCACTTTCAGCCCATGAACTCAACACAAAGTCTCGTTGGCATAACATCTGGTGGATGCTGAACTAAACGAATGTTTAAACCAAAATTTAACCAGCGGAACTGCTAATAATATTGTTTTAGGTAAATTAGATTAATAATGCATTTGCTAAAATATTTTTTAAAAATTAATTTGAACTGTCGTTGTTTGGTTTAAACTTGCACTTTTCATTCTTAAAGACGATATTATTATGGTTTTAATCAATACCATATTTAAAATGACCATAATACCCATGTGTATTTATTTCCCTATTAATCTAATATTATTTATCATTTGAAAAAGGAAATTGAGCCTATTCTCACCAACCTCTACCTATCCCTCTCCCTGTTGTTTTTTTTTTTCATTAGTGTAGAACCCCCCGACAAAGTAATACGCTTTCGGCAAGCTTAAAGATACCCATGAAGTCGATACGCACCTCAAAAGGCACCATGAATCCAAATCCTTAATCAGACACCATCGGAGCAAGGTTACCTCCTCTATTTTGTGATATGGGAAGCCATTGCCAGAAAGATATCAAGAACCATCAATCTCTTTCCTTCTTCTCCGTTCTCAATGAAGAACTATCATACTCTTTGTTTATTCTATGTTCAAATCGGAGGTAGAGACGTTATAATCGGTGGCAGAGGCGGGCACTATCTCCGACGACATGGTTACAGAGGGTTGCATCACAAAACATTTAGCTAAAAGATAAACAAAATCAATATTTCTTCCAATTTAATTAAAATATTATATGTGTTAGTAGTAATCATAATGATCTAAACAATACCAATTTGAAGGTGACATGCAAAAGGTTAATAGTTAAACTCATTAAACATCTATACACCTCAGCTTCTTGCTTTGCCCTGCCCTGTTGCAATTGGATCAGTTTCCTACTTTGGGCAAAACAATGTCTATTAGTGCTCAGGTCACCTCAAGTTCCTTTTACATGTCATAGCAAGAAAAACATATGTTCATTTCATATTCTACAAATTTTGGTTTTAAATAATAAATAATCTTTTTAAATATGGTCTCAAACCTTTATTGGAGTTAAAATCATTTTTTCACATGTCTCCAATTAAATGTATATAATACTCAAAACGAAAGACTCACATGACAATTTGCAAATTAAGATGCCATTAAAGTTAGATTTCTTAATAGTTCCGTACTTTGGAACTAAAATAAACTATTCAGGAAAAAACTTACCCTTGCTCAAATTTAAAGACCCATGGAGCTTCTCTTTACACAAGTTCAATCGATCCTACAATTTTCAGAAATTGATAATTAACCAAAATATAATGATAAAACATAAGCAACAAAAGCCACACCTATATGGAGCAGCAGGTTCAGCTGTTTTGACTTCTTCAAAAATGAAATCGGCAATTTCATCTTCACTGAGCGAAGCATCCTTTCCCTCATCCAATAGTTCTTCAGAACTATCACCTACAAATGGACCTAGAAATTATGGGCAATTTGAAAATATCTCAAAAAAGCAATGTGTTTCATTGCAATCAAACAATAAGCTTTGGTGTATTTATCATCCCCAAATAAAATATGTGTCAGCTTCTCCTTAGCCATTCCACTTCCGTCATATTCTTCCTCACCAAAAACCTCTATTCTCCTTCCACTACAAATAAAATTACAACTAAAAACAAAAAATGTGCCACTAAAGACCCCCTGGCAATCAGCGGCACGAAAAAATAGTGCCACTAAAGGCACTGCCACTAAAGACCTTTAGTAACACCTTTTGGTTGTGCTGCACCTTTAGTGACACTTTTTGGTTGTGCTGCAGCCTAATTGGGTTTTAGTGGCACTTTACAATTATGCCACTAAAGCACTTATAGATTTTAGTGGCACTATTTTTATATCACTGTTTAACTACAAAAATAGTTATTATTTTCATGTTTTTAGTGGCATTTTTTTAACAAAAAAATTATATTAATAAATTAAATCTTATTTTTTTTATTTTAAATGAAATATAAAATAATAATAGGACAATTAAAATAAAACAAAAACAAAATATCATTACATCAATTCAAACTTGTCTACCAACAATAATTTCAATACATTTAAAACATAACCGTCTTCAAAAAAAAGTTTAATATGTCTAAATGTTGTGCAAGTACTCCAAATATAAACTATTGAAATAAATACTTGTTGGGAAGAAACATGAAACTTCATTGACCTCGAACTTTGTATAATTGTTTGTCTCGTTCACTTAGTTATGATTGCTTTCAGATGAGGCTCATCGATTTCCTAAAGGAGAGATATTAGGAACCATAGAAAGATTATCTGGAACCTGAAACAAATGCAGAATAGTATTGTCACTAATATAGTGTAATACTAAAATAATTATTAATTTATATTTAGTTACCTCTAAGTTCAAATTGTTAAGCATTCCAGATAAGTTTGCATTTGGAATATGATCCTTGACAAGGTTAAAGAGAATGTTCAATGCATTTTGTGTACAAGCTAACACATCCTTTAGTTGTTCAACAGTTTGCGATCAGTAGAACATGAAGCATTGTTATCTTTTACAGCTGACATCCTTCCTACACATCGAATGTACCCATGTTTCTCCAGACCCTTAACTTTAGAGTAGTCAACATTTGAATAATCATCTTCGGTCTCTTATGTGTTTGTAGAGTCACTTGAAACAACTTGTAAAGAAGTCTACAAAAAAAGGTTATAATAGAAGTTTTTATGAGTATACAAAGTTATTAATGTTGGTAAGAAAAGCAAAATCATCATTTGGAATTTTATATAGAAAACATAAGCAGTTTCATTATGATTAAACTTCATTGATTATGGTGTATTAGTAATCTAATTTGTCAAAAGAAGGCACTATAAATGATGAAGTTCTACTCAAATTTTGAAAACAAAACATTTAAAGCAATATAAACTTTTTTAATACAATTACAACAAATTATGCTAGGGTATCCATATATTAAGGATAATTTTTTATTTTTGTAAACGATATTATAACAACTACGAATTGGAATAAGCCTCAAAACAAAACTAATATAGCAAAACAGTGTCCAAGAAAGCAAGAAATGAACGTAATTGAATTCTCCTTGATTTTATTCCACAACAGAATCGTACATATATAGGGCGATAGCTATAAAATAGGAAATTACAATCTTCTAATTTTTGAGCAATATTTTGACTAGGTAATATATTTAATACCTTAGAAATATACAGCTAATAATAGAAAACTAATATACAACTAATACACCCCCTCAGTTTAAGCGGGAGGAGACCGGAGGCAAAGACTGGATAAAAAACGAGTAAATAGTTGACGCGTTAGGCCTTTTATGAAGATGTCTGCATACTGAAAATCTGATGGGATGTGAAGAACTCTAATGTCACCAATGCAAACTTTTTCTCTTCCAATATGGATATCGAGTTCCACGTGCTTTGTATGTTGGTGTTGCATGGGATTTTCAGACAAAAAGACCGCAAATATGTTGACACAATAAACAATGGTTGCTTTGCGAGTTGGGACAAATAATTCCAGAAGCAAGTTGTTTACCCAACTTGTTTCAACAACAGCATTAGCGACCCCACGATATTCAGCTTCGGCGCTTGATCGTGATATAGTATGTTGTCTTTTTGACGACCAAGATATCAAATTTTCTTCAAGAAAGAAACAATAACCCGAAGTAGATCCTCGGGAATCCACCCCCCCCCCCCCAATCGGCATCAGAGTAGGCGATAAGTTGACTCGATTTTGAGGGAGAGATATGAAGACCAAGCTGAATAGTGCCCTTAAGATATCGAAGAACTCGTTTTAGGAATTTGAAGTGGGGTTCTCGTGGGGCATGCATAAATAGACATATTTGTTGTACCTCATACGTGAGATCAGGTCTAGTAATAGTGAGATACTATAAGGCACCCCGCAAGTTTGCGATATAATGTTCCATCAGCTAGTGGTTCACCACTGGATGCGCTCAATT